AACACAACCTCTTAACACACAGGAACCAAGAACACTAACCACTGCTTTAGACTACAGAAATTGCTCTTTCTATCTCCCATACATCTATTGCCTTAATGAATATCTGAATATGGAATTTTTCCTCTGAGTTGTATTAGCTGAGGAGACCTAGATGTATGTCCATCCACAGCCTGTCAGAGATGCTCCTTCCTCTTGCCGGAGAGCAAGCGTCAACGAGAGCAATGTGGAGTGTTACCAGTGTGTGGTCAAACTGAGGTTTAGGTGCTTATGACTGCAAGCAAAATGTGGATCAGTCCAACCATTGCAGTGTTTCCTCCCTGAGTCAGTCTAAAACAACAGCTCTCAGAAGATTGCAATGTCCCCACTCATTTCAGTGATATGTTGACTCTGAAGCCTAACATAGAATTATAGAGTTTAAGGCCAGACAATAAGGTAAATGTCAGCACTTTTAACTGTTTCAGTCCCCATCATTTCAGCAGAGACATCCAGCTACTGAGGGAATAGAATGAGTAGGCAGCATTCTCTGCCACCATCAGTCTGACCCCAAGCATAAGTTGATGGGGGGCTTTCAAAACGCAGCACTGTGAAAAATTAAGAGAATTCATGATACTAAGTTGAGCATATTACTGGAGGTCCCAAAAATGCACTACCCCGAAGTCAGTCAGAAGTAGAGGCATTAATAATGTAAACATGGACATACTTTTAACATGTAACCCTAGTTTACAATATAATTCACTTGTCCTTCCCTACATAGGATGTGGTATAATACAACCTATTTAGATATTAATTTATCTGAGATATCTCAAATCCTCCATCCCCACACAAACACCAAGAGTAACCTAGCTTTGCACCAATTAATGTGTGTTCATTTCAGACTCGCAATCTACAAGGACCAGGTTTATGTAATACGTATACATCAATCGTGCCCTCTAACACACCCACATAAAGAAGCACAATTCCCAGAGATGTATAGACCCCCCTGCATGCTCTCCATGGCCTACTTCCTCCATCCCGTGCAGAAGAACCACAGTGCTTCTACTGTGTTTTGGCTAAAATGAGCCAAGATTTGAGACTTTGCAAATAACATTTCATTGGTTAATTTCCAACTCTGCTATTCATTTGTCTTGTTTATTTTCCTAGGGCAAGCATTTACATACATTTTGTTCTATTTGAATTATCAAAACCATTAAACATCATCTATCAGGAAAAGAAATTAGTAGTTTAATGCTCATGAAAAACGCTGGATTGATTCGTCTACAGAATGAAGAAAAAAAGGATAGTATGGCCAGTGACACTGCAAGCTTTCCACAGTACCTCATTAATGTGTGTCAGCTCTGCACTGGAGGAACCACCTTAGCATTTAGAAAGTAGTTCGTTCACCATGCATGTGCAATCCTTGGCATGCTCACTGAGGCTAGCAGCAAAGGTGCCATTTTTGATGGCAGTTTTTGTGATGTGAACAGCTATCTACCAGAACTTTGACTGAGATATACTTACAGATATGCCACTTTGGGCAGTGATCTCATTCGTTCTCAGAAGCTACTCAGTACTCAGACAGGAGACATGCATAGAAAACCCCAGATCTATGGAGAATAGTGCTGGCAATTCACCAAGTGACACTGTGCTCTCTGAGTCATTGAACCAAAGGTCCAGGTAGTGTTAGGGGGCACTGCACTGAATGTGCCATTATTATTTATGCAATTATTATTACTTATGGTAGGGACCCATTGGGCTAATGCTCTGCAAACACATGGGAAGATATGGCCTTTCCCATGACAAGCTCACCATCTAAACTGAACAGACTAACTATCAGCAAAATGAAAAAGGCAACTCTTCTTACCATTTTTTTCCATGTCCCCCACGCTCACCAGCTGCAACCCCTCTATCCAAATGCTTCAGCCAATGTGCTCCACCACTGCAGACCAAAGGGTCCTTCTTCCAGCCTAGATAGCTCCAGCTGAACTTCCTTGCCACCTCACACTGCAGAGTAGGTGGGAAAGCCCCTTCCCTCCAGTGGGCGCCCTGGGTTGGAAGCAGGCCTGTGGTCTCTCCTGTCCCTCTGCAGTCCTTGCAAACAGCTCCAGATGCTCTCCCAACTGGACAGAGCTTACCTACACACAAGAGAGTTTTGGATCTGCTGCTTTCTCTAAGGCTTTGTTCAACACTGGGGCCCTGTTGTGTTTGGCTCAGTACAAGCACAGAGGTAGAAAGACTGATCCTGTAAGGAGTTCCTTGCAGGGGAATTAATTCATGTCACATTTTCTACCAAGTTCAGTGTATACACATATTTCTGGTAGCTATAATCCCCCATCACCAACCCTCAGGACATAACCTCTATTTAAAAATCAACTCTACTTTCACAAAACTAAAGTTCTTCTTTATGAATTGTTCAGGACCTCAGAGCAACCATAGACCACATTCTCTTTCCCCTCCATGAACAAAACATACTTCTTTGCCTTCATACACAAAAGGCCATACACAAACCATACACTAAAACAACAACAAAAACCATGTGCAAATTTCCCCCCCTGCGGAGAAGCCTGGAGAAGGAATAACACATGACAAATAATAGTTACATTGCTTACTGCACCATTGGAAGTCACTCATATAACAGTGATGGGCCTAGTATGAGAACTGGTACAACCACTGAAGTCAATGGAGCTGAGCCAATTTACACCAGCAGATAATTTGGCTGCACATATTTACATTAGATTCAATCTGTTATTCAAGTGCAAAGCTACATATGCATTAGCATCTAATTGGTTGAATTTTATAAACTAACAAGAAGAAAAATGTTTCAAGAACCCTCATGAGAAAAAAAATAGTATTCTGGGGTGAAATCCTGGCCCTATTGAAGGCAGTGGGAGTTTTTCCATTGATTTCAGTGAGACCAAGATTTCACACCCTATATCTAAATGGAAGGCAGAAGCTTTTATGCTGATGAAAATTCAAATTCAACTAATTATTCAAATGACAGTAAAATAAAATAATCATAAGTCCATATAAATATAAGGCTGTTGTATTTGTAACTTCACTCAAAGCGCTACATGAATGTTACTAACTACAATAGGTTTAATTATGTTCCAACTGCTTCATTTCAAAATTATGTATCATCCCTATTTACACTGGATAAAAAAATGTATTTAGCTATTACAAGCTAAAGTGTAGTTTCTTTTTTATTAATGACCCCCGATCCTGTCCTATTTCCAGTTTAGGTAATTATATTCTATGACCTATCTAAAATTCCCCTGTAGTTTCAATTGGTCAGTATTTTTCACTTCCTGTATTATGCCGCTGTTAGGTAGTTTTGCTGTATGCTATTTAGCAAATTATCAGCTTTTTATTTCACTATTGGCAATGTGATTCATATATAGTTTTGCAAATGCTTTGGGATTCTTCTGAATTAAATATTATACATAAAGGTAAGCTCATTATCATTTCACAAAGGTGATCAAGGAGCAATCATATTGTAAATACTTTTGTTGACTACTAACCAGACTAAATGATGTAGGGACCTTAAGAAGAAAAATGCATCATATCCCATTGCCTTCCCCAAATTAAAAATTCAGTCATGAAAGATGGGATTAAAGTGGATATATTTCATTTTTTAATTTAGACTTAATGTGAGAGTTAATATGAAATGTAGACTGAGTTGTCAAGTACGATGCTTATAGATGAAAAGAAAAATGTCTAGTCCCCCAATCCTGTGCCACAAAGAATAATTTATCTTATATGAATAAATCAAACTACAGTATTTATAAATTCAGAGCAAGTAATGAAGTATGAAGCATTGGTTCTTTTTAAATTCACAATTTGTAAATTAGAACCTGCGTTACATTATAGCCATACCCTACCTCAATTGCACACAATTACTGTACATTCATTCTAAAAGCATGTAGATATGGGAGCGCTATATCAAAGAAACTGATTTACACCAACTACAGTATTCATTTTACCATTTAAACATGAAACAGCAATAGAAATACAATAAGCAATAAGAGATTTGTCAAAAATAGGGCAGTGTATACATTGGTGTTATTTTTTAAAGCCAGGGCACTAATTTAGCCTTATATTGGTACTAGTCTATTTCTATTGTATTAGCATAGCCTTAGATTTACACTTCTTGGCGTCTAAAATGTTAGTATAATACATCTAATTACCACTCAATAAACATGCCCACTGCTCTTTCCAAACAGTAACTATTCTTGCATTGAGGTCAACCAGTAAAATTATTACTATCAAAACTAAAGACAATACAGAATGGACTTCCAAAACAGTCAAGGAAATCAGAAAAATATAACCTAGACATACTTAGAATTCTAAATTGCATTTGAGATTTGTTTTACACTCAGAACTCATAAGAACCTGCCCCCCCCCCTCAAAAAACGCCCACAAAGGAAACGATCCTGTAGTTTAACAAAAGCCTCTTGCAGTCTCTCTTTCCCTGCCAGGTACAAGAGCTAATAGAAGCAGACTGTCCCATAGGAAAAGAGGATATTAGTCTTGTACTGGCCAAAAAGGACCAGAGAGCTCCTTATGTTGTAGGACTTCTACAAAAAAAGAAGAAAAACAGCTAGAATGCCTCTCTTCCATTATATTTAACCTCTGCTGGAAAGGGGAGGAAGACTGGATTACATTTTACAAAGCATATTTTAGACTTCAGTTATCCGTTTATCTCACCCTTAGCAAACAAAGTATTATAGACATATACCAAATATAATAGACCCCTTTTCCATTGCAGTGAAGTGCGGCTAATATGCAGGTAGCTGTAACTTTTATTTACTCAAACCCGAACCGCCCTGCAAACCCATCCTCCCAATGAATGGTACTGTCTTCCGAAGGCAGGTTTCTGACACTGCAGTAGCTTGTAACAAAAATATGGATATGCACCCTGCAGCCATCTCCGTGTAAGAAACCAGCCCTCCGGCCCCCTGGAAAGAGTGGTCCCTGCTCAGTGCACCGCTCCGGGGAGGACTCAAAGATCAAGGCGTGTTCCTTACCCTGTTCAGCCTGGACACTCTGAAAAAGGGCTAGGATCACCCCAATCAGCATGACAGCCCTGGAGATGGCCCCTTGGCTGGTAGGTGGCTGGGAGCTCCGCCGATCAGGGCATCCGAGGGCTCTGCCAGCTGCCCAAGGCAGAGAGGCGGCAAACAGGTCCCCCAGCTGCCCGGGATGCTCACACCTCTGATCAGCCCCCTCCTCACCGAGAGCCATTTGTGGGGCTCACACATCAATGCCGCTCCCTGCTTCCAGAAGCGCCCGGGAGTCCCACGGCTCACGGAGCTCCGCTGGCCATGGCCCCCCGGCCCCGGGGGAGGGTGCAGGAGAGGGCGCCGCGCCGCCGCCTTACAGCCGGTGCAGGGACTGCGAGGAGCGGCTGAGGCTGGGGGACCCCATGGCGCCCGCGCCTCTCCCCGGCAGGCGCAGGGGGACGCGCTGCCGCTGGCTGCCCACGCTGGGCTCAGGGGGACGCGGCGCCGGTGCCCCTCGCTGGCTGCTCCGCTCCGGCTCGCGCTCTGGGGCTGAGCCGCGCGTGCTGCTGAGCCGGGCAAGGGCGCCGCAGCGACAAAGGAATCACGTAGCAACCAGCCGCCTCCCCCCTCTCTCCCTCCCTCCCTCCATCCGATCCATTCCAGCCCGGCTCCTGAGCGCCGGGAGCTGAGCAGCGGAGGCGGCGCTACCGGGGCGAGGGGGACCGCTTCTGGGCTCCTCAGGCAACGAGAACCCCGCCTCGGGGGTGTCTCCTGCCCAGCTCCTTGCCCAGCCTTGCTGTACAGCGCGGAGCACAGGGCTCCGGCCCTGGCAAGGAGAAGTCGGACACAGCTCGCTCTGGCCCACCAGTGTTTTTCCCCTAAGGCCCAGGACCAGTTCCCTCAGAACAGGTCCCCCTTTCTCTGTGCGGCCTCGGAGCCCTTGCCCAATGGGGGGGCACAGCACCCTGTGGTGAATCAGACAAGTGCCTCCCCATAGCCTCTCCTCCACCTTGCTGGCACTGTTGTGCTGCGACTACCCCCTCCCTCCTCACTGGTTTTTTAGTATTGCCCTACAGCCAGCAGTACCACTTCAGCCTCTCTCTTCAATGAGTGACCATTTTCAATTAAAACAGCACAAAGAAATGAGTCAGAGATTGCTAGTCTATTTGCAACCGTACCCTGCCCTGTAACTTAAGGGAGACATAAGGAAGAGGTTACAGCTGACTGTCTCAGCAAAGCCCTCAGCCTGTTAAAGCCCAAATGTGAGAGTCTAACCTTTAATACAACAAAAAATATACAAGAACCTGAAAATGATGTGGGTACAAGCAGTTGATAAAATAATAATACTTGGTCAGTCATTTTGCTGTGAGAATTATATGTATACAGTAAATGAAACTATGAATTCACACTACCATGGCTCTTTTGGGTAATGCTGATTGCTAATTTGGCTCCTGAACTACTGAGGTTTGAGTATCAGTGCACTGGAGTCTCAGACCAAAAGCCTGCGGTTATGAAAGCATGCTCCCTGGGCAGTGGGAGGAAGCACAAATGTTCCTCCCACAGATGTTCCTGAAGGGGGCCCTCTGGTCAGGGGTGCAGGATAATCCTGCCTTTTGTCCCTGGACCCACAACATGTAGCGGGAAGGAGGGCCCAAGAGACCCAGCAGATGGGGACAGGGCAGAGCACCCCACTGGGAGGATATGGGGAGAGCGAGAGCAGCAATACTAGTACAATATGTGAGATGAGACCCTCAGTAGAGACAGGGGAATTTTCTGCGCTCAGTCCAGGTTGTACTATTTGTAGTACTGGGGGCAGGCGAGTCTAGGCCTGCCCATAACTAAAAGCCTGCCTTCTCAGCTAACGGGGAGGAACAACTAAGCTCAGGCTACAATTGAATGTTTGGGACAACAAATGAAAAAACAGCAGTAGGAGGGAGGTCAAAGGGTGAAAATCAGGGACCCGAGGATGACACCAAGCAGAGAACCCCCGACAGTGCCCACTGCTCTTCAAACACATGGAGGGAGTCAGTGGAAACTGCCCAGAGGAACTCTGCCCAGAGGTGTGATTGGATTAGTGACCAGAATTAGGCCCCACAGTCACAGAACATGCCACAGCAAGAGGAAGCATCAAGCCTCCCCCAAGGAGTAGTGGACCCAGTACAGGGTGCCCTGGTAGGGAACCAGGAAGGACCCCTCCAAGCTCCCCTGGCCATGCACCACTGCCACCAGCTGAATGGTGGAACAAGAGGATGTGGCGGAGGGTGGGGTCACTAAAGCCCTATGGGAGAGGATTTTGGATACCAGCTTCTACAAGTTGGAAAGAGGAAGCAGAAGGGCAGCATTGCAGAGGAAGGGCGGGATGGAGGTAAGGACCACCCATAAACCCAGGTCCTCCAGCAGCTCAAGGGGGACAAAGTAGTACCCACCCCCCAAGAGATGCCTTTCTCCACTGCCTCCTGAGCAGTGGCCTCCAATGCCAGGAAGAAGACGACTTTTACATACATCTTGGAGGCCACCATTCTGGCCAGGGCCCCTACACCTGTGCCAATGTCCGCACATCAGTTTTGAAGTGGGGCAAGGTGACCACCAGGTAGAGTGACCAGATGTCCCAGTTTTATAGGGACAGTCCCAATATTTGGGGCTTTTTCTTATATAGGCACCTATTACCTCACACCCCTTGTCCTGATTTTTCACACTTTCTATCTGGTCAACCTACCACTAGAAGGCAACAGACACAGTACTTCCTGGTCAGGTTGGTGAAGGGACCCTGGCCACCACTGATATTGGAAGAGGAGGCAGCCGCAGTAGGGGGAGGGGCTGTGGCAGATAGCGATGAGGCAGTAGGTGGGGCCGTGACCACCTGGGAGTAAGCTCTAGGGGCTGAAGAGTGAGCACCGCCAGAAGAGAAGGGTGCTCACTGGTGGAAAAGACATCAGTGGGAGGGGGAGCTGCAGTGGTAGCAGCTGTTACTACAAAAGGAGCCTTCTGGGCAGAGCACTAGCCCTTTTTTCTGCCCTGACCCTTTCTGCCAGCCAGTGGGGCTCCCTTGCTGATGACAGGAGTTTTGGCAGCATAGTCCCACCCTGTGCCTGCTGTGCCAGCCCACTGGGGGTGCTGGTAGTTCTAGAAGTGGTGTTAGTGGTGGTAGCCGCAGGGGCAGATGGGGGAGAAAGCCAAAGTAGCAACAATGGCAGGGATCCCCCTCCTTCAGTCTCCCCCTGTTCTTCCCCACAGACAAAGCTGTGGGAGTGGAAGGCTCACGTGGTGTGGCCAACTCAGGGTCTGCCACTGAGGGGAGGTGACGGGACCAGCCCCCGGAGGGGAGGGTAGAAATGTTAAAGGGAAGGGTGAAGGTAGGGAAAAGGGAGGCTGATCCCTTCTCCCTACTAGGCTATATATGGGGGAGAAAGGGGCAAACAAAATAAAGCAAGGACGGTGTGTGGCACAATAGTGTTCAGGGGGGCACTGACTCCTCTGGCTGCCCTTGGTGAGAGGCAGCTGGAAGTGTGAGAGAGGTGCAGGGAATAGAGAATGATACAAAATAGTGAGGGGAAATCACAAGTGCTGGGAAGCTCAGGTATATGGAGGAAACCCAACAGGACTGGGCACAGCAGGGAACAAACAGCGCGGGGTGGGGGGGAGAAACAAACAACAAAACGCGGGAGGGGGAGGTGCTGGGGAAAAAAGTTTACAAAACCATGAGGGGAGAGTCTGGAAAGGGCAGATACTAGACAGCAAGAGACAGAGCAAGTAACCAAATATTAAGGGGAGAGGGGGCTCAGGCAGGGCCAGTATCAAACAGCACATGGAGAAGGTGGCCCAGGCGGGGCAGGTAACAATGTGGCAAGGGGAGGGCTGCCCCCCCGGGGCCAGAGAGGCAGGTAACAATAAGGAGGAAGTCCTGGGTGAGGCAAGGGAAGCAGCTAACAACAAAGAGAGGGCAGCAGAGACAGGCAGCCAATTGGGGAGAAGACACATGAAAGTGAGGGAGGATAGCAAACAGCAAGGGGTGGGCACTTGGGCAGAGGCCCACCAGCTCACTGCAAACTAGGAGGAAGGAAACAGGAGGGAAAGCCCAAGGTTGAGTATATTCACCCATGTATGCTTGCAATCGCATCTCTGTTGCAAGAGTTCCAGGGTAGGCAGGCGGAGGCAAGCAGGCTGGCTAACAGGCTAGCAAGCAGATGGTCTCAGGGGCAGGAGCTGTGGGGGAGTAGGTGGAATGGGCCTCATTCCATTGGGGGAGGGCTCCACATCACTCCCCCTTGCCCCAGCAACAGTGACCGCAGTCGGGGCTCAGCCAGTAGCAGCCACAGCAGCAATGGCCAGGCTGTGTGGAGGGGAATGCAGTTTCCTGGGTGCCAGCCTGCTTCTTTGGCTGGTGTAGACCAGCTCTCTCCTCAGCTTATTGGCCCACTGGGCCTTATAATTAAATCCGTCCCTGACACAGAGGGGAAGAAGCAGTGCTGTCAGCAGGTAGTGAGAGTGAATGGTAAGGAGGCTAGAGCAGTGATTCTCAACAGAGGCACGCAGAGGTCTTCCATGGGGTATGGCAATGCATCTTTATTTGCCTAGTTTTACAACAGGCTACATAAAAAGCACTAGTGCCGTCAGTACAAACTAAAATTTCATACAATGACTTGTTTATACTGTTCTATACACTATACACCGAAATGTAAATACAATATTTATATTCCAATTGATTTTATAATTATATGATAAAAAAATGAGAGTAAGCAATTTTTCAGTAATAATGTGCTGTGAAATTTTTATATTTTTTGTCTGATGTTGTAAGCAAGTAGTTTTTAAGTGAGGTGAAACTTGAGGTACACAAGGCAAAGCAGCTTCTGGAAAGGGTAATAGTTTGGAAAGGTTGAGAGCCACTGGGCTACAGGGGTCAAGAGGCCTCCCCTATACAGTGGTAGCTACGGTGAGTGTGGAACAAGATGAAAGATGCTTTTGGGGGAAATAGTGACAATTCTTATTCCAAGGTCTTGGAAGTAGAATTGCTTCCTAAATGGGGAAAACAGTACTTGAAGTAAAGGAAAGTACTATTTTCTCCTTGTTACAATAATATGTTTTAAAAGCAGAAGGAAAGAGGAGTTCTCTTTATTAAATGTTTACAAATCAAGTCTGAAGGGAAAACAGACCCCAGCTTTGGGAACCTGCAGCTGCAAATCCCCAGATCCTTGCAAAACTGATAAGTGAAATTACATATTTGTTTTACTAATTTGGTACAGT